CAGTGGCTCTGCAGGAGAAACGACCTGGCAATGTATTCCCATACAGACTGCAGCCTAGCAGACCCTGGGGGCCAGTTCTGCTCTGCCACATGGGGTCACTACGAGTCACAATTGACCACACAGGGCCTGAGAACAGCGACAACAGATTTTAGGTCCAATTGCACTCTGTCCCTTCCTATTTCTAAAGCCAGATCTTGACTAGGATTTCTGACCAGAATGGGAGCTCCCTCTTATCCATACCCGGCTACATCTCCACCACCTACAGCAGGGCCTGTCATGACACCTCTCTCCCGGTGGGGTTGTTTATGTGGTGTCCTGATCCATGAGACAGGAGCCATCTTTCCCTCCAAGCACAGATGTCTGAGCACCTCCAGCCTCTGAGTCATCCAGAACTCAGAAAGAATCTGTTAGAAGGAAGATGGTGATTCTCTCCTCACGGTCCTGACTTTCCAGCTCCAGTTTCCTATCCAGGGATACTTTTGTTGTTGTTGTTATATGCCGTCGAGTCGGACCTGACTCATAGTTTACTGGGCAGCAATTCATTGGAAGGCTCAGTGCTAAAGGAAAAAATAGCCCGTGTCATGTGAATGAATAATTCAACTCCTGATCCCTGAGATGACAGACTTCTGGGGTCTCTACCCCCTTACATTCCTGTCTGACTACCTAAGGTGATGTGATCCCATTTTCCAAGAAGCTCAATTTTCATCTGTTCAGTAACTTTTATGTCCCATTAACCACTTGACTTCCCTTGCTTCTTTGGGTTTGGGCACCTTGTTTCCTCAGTATGAAGGAGTTTTGGAAAAGGCAAGCTCAGAGCTCAAGAAGCAATAAAGAATAATACTGTAATCCTTACAAGGCGTGATTGGTTTTTAGGCTTGCTCTTTCAGAAGGTTATTATCTGGAGTTGAATGCTAATGGATTCCAGTTTTCTTTATGCAGAAGAAATCGTAAACAACATTGCTCCTAGGGAAGAACATTAATCAAAGGAGAGAAGTGAGCATGGTACCAAATGCTGTTTGCATAATAGCTGCCCTTGGGTGTGTTGCTCAACTTAAAGATAAATATTCATGCTCTCTACCCAGTAAAGGGGAGCTCTGGTAGCGTAATGCCTCAGGCATTTGACTGCTAACCAGAAGGCTGGCGGTTCAAACCCACCAGCCACTTCTCGGAAGGAAGGTTGGGCAATCTACTTCCATAGTGATACTGCCTTGGAAGCCCAAGGAGGGGTTGCTATGAGTCTGGCCAGACTTGACAGCACATAGCAACAACAACACCCAGTGCAGCCAGGAATGATGGCTGGGCTTCTGTTACACGATTCTTTACCTGCTCATGGAGACTTCAGACAGGGAGGCTGTGGAAACCAAGTGTGAACAGTGCTTGTTGAATGAGTAGGGGGTTGAAGTTGAAAGAGGCTCAGGCTGTAATTAGGGCCATGTGGGGATAGCAGTTTGCAGGGGGCAGAGCAGGTCATAACCCTGTGTCCAAGAGAGGAAAGCAGAGTCAAACTGGTGTGGCCACCTACACTGAAGAGCCCCTTGGGTGCCTCCTTGTAACTCTGCAGTGACATGTCATGTGCAGATAGAACCCACGTCCCTTAGCTTGGCATCAGAGACGCTCCCTGGAGAGCCCCAGGAACTCATCACTCCAGCCTGCTCTCCCCGCAGAGGGGATCATGGGGAGCTACGTGCAGGTCCCCACAGACACCATGAGCTCTAACTTCCATGTCTTTATCTATATCCTTCCTGCATTTTGCAAGGATTTTCTCAACCACTTTGCTAATTAATTCTATTGCCATTTAAGAGTCAGCTTAACCTTTACCTCTACCTCCTCTACCTTGAACTTCAAGGGTGGTCATTAAGTTTTAACTTAGCTTCTCCTGTTTCTTTCTTATTCTATTCTATTTGTCTGTTTACCTATAATCTATCTACCTACCATGTATCTGTCTATCCACTCATACATCCTTCCACCCACCCAGCTACCCAGCCACCCAGCCACCCATGCTTCCATCCACCTATCCATCCATCCGCCTTCAGTGTTTCTTAAATAGACCTTGCTGTGGGGAATTAGCTCATCCCATTGATTTCCTACCTACTTTTACCATATTTTATTTCACACATGCTTTAAATTAATGAATTCTTTTTTTTCTTTTCTCCTGTTCCCTCTTTCTTTCTCTGTTTCTCTCTCTCTCTCTCTCTCTCTCTGTATTTCCTTCTAACTCGTAAACGGTGAGAACCATTGCAGTGCCATCTTGAAAGCATCGCCTGTACTGCTGTTATTGAACTTCTCTGTGGGCTCATACGATTTTTCTAACCTTCTTTCATTCCTGGAGTCCTGGGTGATGTGAATGGGTAACATGTTCAGCTGCTAACTGAAAGGCTAGCTGTTCAAATCCACCCAGAGGCGCCTTGGAAGAAAGGCCGAGTGATCTACTTCTGAAAACCCAAACGGTGTCCAAGTCTACTCTGACACACAGGGTTTTTCTGAATCAGAGTCAGTGCTACAAATTGAGTTTCAGATGCGAAGTTTTCTTAGGTTCTTTTGCATAAGATTTTATTAATTTTATGTCTGTGATTTTTATCTTTTGCTCCATGTCTCTCTTTACTTTCCTTTAAATCAGTTCAACACTAATTGTTGTACATGTACAATGTATAAAGCAGTGTACCAGGAGCCACAGGGAGACCGAAGAGTACATTGCTTATAGCCTGTTTTGGAGATGAAATGTTCTTCTCTCCTTTCTCTGCTCTCCTTGTTTATCCATGTTTCTTCTTCTTCCCCGCTTCTTCCGCCCATGCTCAGTAGCCCTCACCACTTCTGTAGAATTCCAAGGCATCTGCTTTGGCCAATGGGAAGGACTCAGCCCAAGGCCAGTGAATGCATCTGGCCTGCCTGTGTTCTTTCCATCTGGCCACTGGGACTTGTAAATAGAAGAGCTTTCAGGGCTTTGCTTAGTGACAGGCAATGATCTATGATCCTGTATTTCTGGCTAACTCTCCATGCAGTCTACTGAAGCAAGAAGAATCAAATGCTACTTTTTAAAAGAAATTTAAATTCCTTTTCTTCTGAATTTTGTGAACTTAAAACCTCAGAATAATTTGCTGAGTCATTTCACAATCCAGGTATCTATTTTTCTAAAAGGACTTTTTTCCAACCCAACACAAATAGTTCCCTTCAGAAAGTGTAAGTGTAAGTAGGCACTCCCTTTTATAGTTCTCATTCTGCCCCTGCCTCCCTCCTGATAAAACATGTCTAAGTGGACACTTCTTTTTCTCTCCACCCCCAACACATTATACTCCTACAGTTAATTTAGGTTACCTGAGACCTTTAGCAGGAGCTCTGGTGGCGTAGTGCCTAAGACATTTGGCTGGTAACCAGAAGGCTGCCAGTTCAAACACACCAGCCACTCCTTGGAAAGAAGACTGGGAAATCTATTTCCATAGAGATACCACCTTGGAAACCCAAGCAGGGGTCGCTACGAGTCGATTCGACTCGATGGCAGTGAGTTTGGTTTTTGGTTTCTTGGAGACCTTTAGCATTCTTCCCATAAGAGTCACTGATAAATTTGATGCCAAAGATGTAGTTCTTTTCTTTAGGACACAATTAAAAATGCTTGTTTCCTCTTAGCTGTCTCTATTCCTCTTCATCTACAAAGCAGTAAGTGTTTATCTGCTATTAAAAAAGCGCACAAACAAGCATGCTTGTGATTTCTTGACCCCATGAGGGCAAAGTAGAAGGCATTGGAAAGAGGGTCACAGTCCTGGTTAGACACCTGTTCTGCATCAGGAGGTGGCTGGAGACATAAATGATTGCATTCGTCCTTCCAACAGCCCCACAACATTTAGGCATGGCATTGTACCAGTGTGGAAACTGAGGTTCAGAGGGCTTAACCAATGGAAGATCATTTGTCCCACAGTTCATAAGTGTCAGAGCTAAGACTTGAACCCAATCATTGACTCCAAATTCCATGGTCTCTCTGTTGTACCAGTGCTGGAGAGGGGTGCAAGGAAGTTCTAGAAGGATCCATGGGATGAGTGTCTGGGTGGGGAGAGGTTGGAGAGAGACCTGAATCTGTTTTACACATGTCTCCTTCCTAGATACCTGCCCTCAATATTGATTGCCTCTCCAAAGTAGGGAGCCAGCCCTTTGTAGTACTTTCAGGAGAGGGTCTTCTACTAATGAGACATCTCTCTTTTGTCTTCCACAGCCATTTTGCAGGCAGTAATAACTGGTGATCTTATGAAGGTAAGATATCCTGTCCAAGCTCTTGGTGGTTCCTTAAAGACTTTAAAGCAACATTGCTTCTCACCAGATCTTCCGTGATCCCCTATGTCATGTGTCATCGCCCCTGCCTGGGCTGGCCGAGGAGAAAGAGGAAGGATGCCCTTTGGGAAGTGAGCCCCAGGGAGGGGCCCTTGACACCAGCACCACTCTCCCACCAGTCAAGGGCCCAGAGCATCTGCTGGGATTCATTCATGCTCACAGTGCCCAGAATTCCTGATCTCCACAAGCTGGCATTTTAAAGATTTAAGGGTTTCTTCTCAGGCAAGTGTTGAGATGACTGTCTTTAAGAATCCTAAATAACACCTATAAATTTATTCTACATGCCAGCGTTGATGTCTTCCAATATTATTGCAGTTTTGGTTTTTGGAGATCCTGGTTAACCAAACGAAGTTACTCCCCCTGACCCACCTTGAACATGTAACCAGTGCTTACATGTTCTGGCAAGTTTGGTTCAGAGGGAAGGATGTGGGAAGGCTGACTTGGGAATGAATGAATTCTGCAGTCCCATGGCCCACATTCAGGAGCTGGCTCTGCCATCCACAAGATGTGACTCTTTGTGCAGCTCTTTGATTCTCTGTGTGCCTCAGTTTCTTCATCTGCAAAATGGGATCATAACATCACCTCTCTCTTTGGTTTGTCATGAGGATAGGATGAAATAATACCTGTAAAGCTCTTGATACTGTGCCTTGTACATAGAAAACCAAAACCCAAACCCACTGCCATTGAGTCCACTCCAACTCATAGTGACCCTATAGGGCAGAGTAGAACTGCCCTTTAGGGTTTCCAAGGCTGCCAATCTTTACAGAAGTAGACTGCCTCATCTTTCTCCCTCGGGGCAGCTGGTGAATTCTTTGAAATATGGGACATCACTCTTGCCAGTTATCTTACTGTGTCTGTTATAATTATTTCCTAAATAACAATACCTTATTACTGAAGATGAAATATGAGGGCTTAGAGTTTTTCTTTTGTCTCTTTTCCTCCTTCCTTCACTTCCTGTCTTCTTTCATTTCTCTCTTCCATGGAGAAAGCGCCATAAATATTAAATAAGTATTTATTCATTAAAGAAATAAGTATTAAATATTAAACAGGTTGTGTGAGTGAGAGAGAGAGAGACAGATGAAGAGAGATGGAAAGAGTGAAAGAGAAAGTGAGATAGACCCCAGCACTAGTAGCACTGGAATGCAAAGGATGGAAACAAAGACGAATCACTGACAGCGTGAAAATTTGGCCTTGGTGACAGAAAAAACACTGGAGATCGCAGGATAGAATTTTCCATGACCAATGACTTAATAGTTGCAAATACCTTTTTACCACAACACAGACGGCAGCTATACACATGGACTTCACCAGATGGAGTACACAGGAATAAGGTTGACTATATTGTGGCAAGAGGGAATGGAAAAACTCAACATCTTCAGCCAAAACAAGACCAGAAGCTGGTTGTGGAACATACCATCAACTGCTCATATGCAAGTTCAA